TTCACTCAGCTCTAACACTAATTGGCTTAATAAGCTGTTGTTGGTGCAAATCCAAACTATTTTCACTCAACTAATTAGTTCACTTGTTTACTTCCATTCAAAAGAACGTCCTAAAACAGCCGTTTTTTTTTAATGAAAATGGCTTTTGCGACCGGCGTTGCATCTACGGCCGATGAACCAACAGCTTCATAGTAGGCCCAAACGCCAAGTTTGCGTGGTGATCCCCAGGCCTATTAGCAACATTTCGTCGATTATACACCAATATACACGTTTAAAATTTTCACTTTGTATGTAGCAGATTCAATATCTTCTTTACGAAATTGCCAAATTTCTCTCAACCATTGTCTGAGAAAATGGTTATTTTCGGATAGTTAATCCGTTGCTTAAAACCACCGGCATAATAACCTAAAAACCATCAATTTTTCTTCAGCTGTTGCTTTACTGAAGTTGTCGTCTATTCCAGGTTTATCGAAATTTGCAAAATTAGCAAGATCGGTAACAAGGAGCCGTTCAGTGCTGGTATCTCAGTTCTCGTCTCATCTGCCCAACCTCAAAGATACAACGAAACAATCGCACTTGGCACAAGTCAGTTACCTGTCCAGGCCGTCCAGCTTTCCTTACTAATGCCCTGATCATTTTCACGCTGCTTTGTGGACTCGAATCGAGCAGATGATGAGTTTGAATTCGGATATCATGCCGCAGTATCGGCAGGAAGCTCCCAAGACTCCGCCTCACATCTTGTTGCATTATTGCGCCTTCAAAGCAATCTGGGATTGGATTATTCTGTGTTTAACTTTTTATACTGCGATTATGGTAAGTTGCTCTGCACTCAACAGATTTCGGTTGAATGTACATTTTGTAAAGAACTGATTTGTTTCATACCTTCAATAACCCAGAGTTCCATAGAGTGTCTTCAACGTTTTCAAACATTTTCCCAGCGCCAGATATTGTACATATTTGATTGTTGCTAATGAATCTGTTTAACGAAAGTTTCCCACTTGATTTGTTTATTTAATGCATCTTTGTGTTTTTTGCAGGTTCCTTATAACGTAGCTTTTAGGAAGAAGACATCTGAAGATGTCTCCGTATTGGTTCTGGACTATCATAATGGGGTAGGGTTCTGAAGTGTATTAAAGTATTGCCGTTCACTTAGCACCAAAATTCCAAACATGTAGTATAGACAAGGTTGAAAAGTCTTTCGCTTAACTCTCAAGCAATCAATCGTCCCGCTCAAGTACTCTCAAGCTACGTTCCGGATTGTGACCCTTTAATGTTAGTTAGTTAGTACCCTACCCCACTATTGATTGCCGATTTAAATTAGCTGCTTGGTTTCAAGTTCTCACACGATTCTAAGCTGAAAGTTTGTTTTTATTTCACGTACGAAAAACATGCGTCAAGCGGCGCACTTGAGTTTGGGTAATAGATGAAATTTAAACCACTAACTATACTAGATATACGTTTACACTTCGGCACAGAGCAAAATAATGCATTGTTAAAGCTCTAAAACTTTAGCTTCTGGCAAATATTTAGTCAATCCTGGAAATCTGCTCCCAGTAGTTGGGGGCGTTTATTGCTGGATTGAGTCGATTTAATGGCGATTTTATGTACAGAGCGAGATATAAAACACTTGTTTTTACTACTAGTTGGGGAAATATTTTTAGGTTGCAATGCGAATATTTGCCATGTGTTTAGTGAAGTTTTACGGTTTTAATTAGACGCGGAACACCCGAAACTAGCGCATCACATTTGCTGTGTTAGCACAAGTTTAATTGGAGTTTTGTTTTTCTTTTCGGTCTGGGCTTATATTTTATTTTTTTCATTTTTTCTGGATTATGTTTTGGTAGCCTTTAAACAAAAATCCAGTATACGTTAAAAACCCTAAACACATGTCCCATCCAAGCTGTGCAATGTAAAATATTGCGTTTGATTTCTGTCTGAGTTTCCGCATTAATGTTTGCAGGTTCCTTACAATGTAGCATTTAAGAACAAGACGTCCGAGGATGTCTCCCTGTTGGTTGTGGACTCAATCGTCGATGTGATATTCTTTATTGACATAGTTCTTAATTTCCATACGACTTTCGTCGGACCCGGAGGAGAAGTGGTGTCCGACCCGAAAGTCATCCGTATGAACTACCTCAAGAGTTGGTTCATCATCGACCTGCTAAGCTGTTTGCCTTACGACGTCTTCAACGCTTTCGACCACGACGAAGACGTAAGTAGCCGAACAACCATTTCTCTTGCTTAACCGGCTAAGACAACAACCCGTTTATAAGCTGTTTAAGTTTCTAAACCACATTGACAAATTGGAAAACTTTAGCGGCACCGAATTTACCAAGTTTTTCAAATGAAATGCCCCTCAACTCAAAGCGAAATTTGTTAATTCAATCTGTTCAAATTAAATTCATCTTCAAACACGAGCTTGTCTATCGTTAGTATCGGCCTGTCGTTCGGTGCATGTGCATAAACTTCTTTGCTAAATATCAAATTTTGCCTAAATTGACGGTAGTTTTGCAGATCGTTCGGAGGCACTCTACATTTTTGTCGGATAACTTCGTTTGTCCAAGGGTTATTTACGTATGAAATTGAAATAAGTTTCATTTCAAATTGATTTTTTTTTAAAACGTTTTCAATATTTTTGAGTCCAAAAGTGTGTAACTTCAAAATTACAAAAAACAGTTTGGGACCAGAAATTATAAGAATTTTTCTGACGACACTTTAGAAACTGCATTGAGGGCGATAGTTCTTATAAAAGAAGTTTCGCAAAAAGCGTCAATGGTAACTTATTATATTGCAAATTCCTAAGAATGGCCGTAGGCAAAAGCTTCGTAAAACAGTTTCAAATATCCGGAAATAGACGATTTAACAATTGTCGATATAAACTAGGATAAAACAAAACGGAAAATTTATACATTTCCAGGGTATTTGAACTTCTGATAAAAGTTTTATTGACTTTTCTGTTAGAATATGAGTTTTAAGTTTTTTAAAATAGTTCTAAAAAAATTTAAGTGTTTTTGAAATATATGAGTAGCATATGATCTCCGGTCAATGTTCCTTATTCGTGTTTATATTTCTATGGTTTGTTTCGAAGAGTAGATATAAGAATAAATAAAATATGCATAAAATGATGAGCTTTTTAATTAAAATGGTCAGCAAAAAATCCTTCATTAGTTTTTTTGTTTCTCCGTTGCAATAAGACCTATCGCGCGCCTAAATGTATCTACATTTTCTATGACATCAAACTTATTCAACAGCGAAAAACGTTATCGCGGAAATAATTTTAATTAATTAATTGTTGCAAGTAACTTCATCTTAACTATAATTTTCGACAATACGGATCATTTTCGATTCTAGTAATAAATTTTGTTGTTTTAAGGGAATCGGAAGCTTATTCAGTGCTTTAAAAGTAGTGAGACTTTTACGATTAGGACGAGTAGTGCGAAAATTGGACCGCTACTTAGAATACGGCGCTGCGATGCTGATACTTCTGCTATGCTTTTATATGCTGGTAAGTGTTTGTTTTCAAATGCTGTTGCAAAAGTTCGTTCAGAAGTTTCCAAGCGGAAACTTTAGAAGTTTTACTAGCAGTGGATCTTAATAGAAGGATACAGTGAAACTGTAAACTTGGAGTCCTATTAAACTGTCATCTATTCGCTGTTAGTGCACATGAAATACGAGGTACCTCACGGTCAGCGTCCATTAGAATATTTTATTATATATTATATATTTTGTATATTACATATATTTTGCTTTATTCCTTTCTGAGCAAAATATAGTTTTTCTCAAAAACAGTTAACATCATTAACAGGGTGTCGCCTAAAATTGAATATATTTTCAAAGATGAAAGAGTGAAAATAGTGTTCTTTTTCAATCTTTTTTAATCAAAGAGTGGATCATTAAGACTGGGTTGAAGAGCACAATCTTCTGTAAAACCAGCTTTTTAGGCAATCGGTTAAGAAACGTAAGATTTATTACGAATTGAACGTCAAGCAAAAAAGTTTCTATTTTACACTTTCGGCAAACTTGAGATGGATTTAATTGCAAAACAAAGATTTTCAGGCACGAAAATCGCACTCTCTTTAAACAGAATAAAACTGCGTTGATATTTTCTAGAAAGTACGGCTGAGAAAACTAAACTCTGTTAGAAAACTGGTAAATTATGAGGGTTTGAAGGCCGGATATCCAATTTTTAAGCCAAAAATATTTGGCATTTTTACACTTTATGTTAACGCCAGACGCATTTAAATGTCGAAAAATATTTGGAATTGTTATACTTTAAGGCAAACTCTAGATGTGAGCGCTAATAAAGAATTTTTGGAGAAGAAGATAATATTTTAATAAAAATTAGACGCAAGTCGTGAAATGAATTTTTGAAAAAACAAATATATTTGGGCTCGCTTACTTAAAAATTCACATCTTCCAGACTAAAGCAGGCAGGCAGTTGCATCTTTTACCACCTTTAGTAGACACTTGACTCTATAGACGTGGAAAGTTTCAGAAAAATCCATGCGGAACCTGATTTTTGTCGGCTTTGTAAGTGTGACTCACAAAATTGCTGTTGTAAGTCAATTGCGCTCGCTTTCTTAAAAATTCGCATCTCCCACACTAAAGCGCACAGGCATTTGGGTGTTTCATTTAAAATAAGTAGGTTTGAGACAACTTCTGGTACAACCGGAAGTCGCTTAATGTTGCTGTTATTTCATCTGAAAAGAACGTCTCCGAAAATCCCATTATCCATATTTGCGGGATTCAAATCGCAATACTTCCCCAAATATTCTAATGAACGCTGACCGTGAGACAGCCTGTATATTTTTCTTCAATATAAATCTATACCGTGCTTTGGACTTTCGTTTATTTCTCGGGCGGTGTGGTTGAAAATGCGTCAATTTTTCTTTTAAACCGAAATTTCTATTATCTTTCTAATGAATTATTGAGCTATTCTGCCCTGCTAAGGCAAGAAGTCGTATCTGCAAGTTTTCACTTTTCCAGCTTATGCGGTATACTGGTATAACAAAGTTTGCTTTACCTCTCAGACAAGGTCTGGAATTCGTATCATCTTTAGAATACGGTTTTTCAATGATATTTATATGTCCTATCTGCAAAAATATACCAGTTACCAGGTCAAAAAGTCGTATTGATAATTACCAAGTCATATTGTCGTATCTGATTAAAAATATTTCAATTACGACATTTTGGCTTGGTATCTGTACTAAGTCGTAATGATCAAAAAGTCATATTGATAATAATTATTAACAATTATTAATTGCCGTATGACATATATGCAAGTGTGATTAGAGATATTTTGTTGTTTATGGTATTTTAATATTCTGTTGATATAGCGAAGGCAAGTATCTTATATTTAACTATTTCACATTCAAATGTTAGTTTTACTGGCCCTAAACAAGGAATTAGCTCAAAAAATGTCCACATATAGAGCTAATAATTTACATGGCAGACTAAACCAAAATTCTATTGATGATTCACACGATCCAGATTTTACTGTGAAGTCTGAATTGCCAAATCAATCACGAAAATTCACAGAACAAGGAAAAGTACGAAAACGGAAAAGTTACAGCAAGTCATTACAGGAAAGAAAGAAACTGAAAAGAGAGGAACAAATTGCACAACATAACGTGCAAGAAACATGTAAGGAAAATTGTGCAAAAAAATGCACCCAAGCAATTGACATATGGAGACAAAATGCTATAAATAAAGAACTGGGAAATGACCCATGAACAACAGCGTCAATTTATCTTTACACGTTAAAAAAAATCGATAAAAAAAGGAAAACTGAAGATGGAGACTCCAGGCGAAGTTATAGAATTAACTACTATTTAAAAGCTAATACAGGGAATGATGTAAGAGTTTGCAAAACATTTTTTTGCCAGTTTTGGGCTATCCAAGTCCATAACGGTAGAATAGTTAGAGATGTTCTGAATCAAACTGATTCGAAATGTATGTTTGTCAAATCATTAAAGACAGGGCATCCATCTCAGAAAAAAATTGACAGAGAACACGTAGTTTGTCATATTAATTCTTTTAACCCAAGTATATCGCATTATAGAAGGCAACATGCCCCAAATCGAAAATATGTGCCCAGTGATATAAACATTAAATTAATGCATGCAGATTTTCTACAAAAGTACCCCGAAATGAAAGTTTCATACGAATTTTACCGCCAACAAGTAGCTGAGATGAATATCCCGTTTACTGTGCTCGGTCATGAGTAATGCTGGCAATGCGAAACATTCAACCTTCACTCCAAAAACTTAAAACATGATACAGAAAATACTGATCCCGACTGCGATGATTGCCAAAAATGGAAAAGTCGCTATGAAAATGCCATACAAGCGAGAACTGAATATAAAAATGACGTATCTACAAAAGCAGGATCTGAATCATTATCTGTTTCTGAAGACTTGCAAAAGGTGGTTATTATATCACAAGTATAATAAAGTGAATTTAAAGAAATCACTGTGAAATGTTTAAAGAAATCATTTTTACA